TCTTGAGCTCAGTAACATTAAACTTTAAAATTCCTAATTCTTCCGTAAGCGTATCCCGAGCATAAGTAACAGATTTTAGCAGTCCGATGTCAATATTTGGTCCCTTTTTATAAACTTGGTTAAACTTTTCAAATATTTTAAATTGAATTTACAGTGTAATACCCTGCTTTTCTTCGTCAAGTACTCTGGGTTTTAATGTGACAAACTCTTTGCAAATGCTGACTGCTGTTCTGCTGAATTAAACCTATTACTGCGATGAACCTGAAATTCTCTTCGTGTTCCAACAGCCCACGTAAATGTAGTCAGATTTCAACTCTAAATCCAAAGTGCCAGCCTCCAGCTGCACCGCCTCCCCCAGGACAGTCCTGCAAAGACACTCAAGCTCGGCCTGGCAGCCGTGAGACTGGCCGTTGCCGGCCTCACCGTGAGGCCTCTGTCCCCCCTTCAGCTCTGCAGCAGGGCCCCTGTAGCCTGCTCCCCGGGACACTGCCAGTGCAGTAGGCAGGACTGGGGCAGCTGAGGACAGCACCCAGGGTACCTGGACACACTCCCACACTCCCTCCAATACTGCCCAGGGTGCCCCACTCCTCTTCAGGCCTCATTGTTCACTTCCTCCAGGAAACCTGGGGCCCCAGGTCAGAACAGGGTGTCCTGCCCTACTGCCCTCTGTCTCCCACTCATTGGCCCTCACCCAGCCCAGGGGCAGCTGGTGCCTGACCACGTGTCTGCTGATGGAACACTGGGGAGGGCCAGCAGCTACACTGCCACCAGCAGTGAGAACTCAGGGATACGTGGCCTCACACACCCAGGGTGAGGGGGTGTTGGGGGGAGGTGAGCCACCTACAAGGGGCACAGGGCCCTGCAGTGACCAGGGCCCAGGGCAAGACAAAGGCAGAGTGATGAACGCCGCAGCCATGAGGACAACTCTGGACACAGGATGCTTTAACACACTTTATGTTCCAGCAACCGCGGCAGCAGCAGCATCTCATGTCTCTCTCTCCAGGAAGACCTCACGCTCGGCTCGAGCCCAGCCCTGGCGGGACCCCAGCGACTTGAGAAATGAGACAGCTGACCCCCAGTGACACTAACATCTGCAGTCTCGAGCCAGACTGAACGTCGTCCATCAGAGGAAAGGACCCCCAGCTCCGGAGTGGCAGAGCTGGGCTCAGAGTGAGCAGGGGGCTCACAGCCTGGGTCCGGGCTGCTGGGCATGCGGGTCCTGCAAAGCAATGAGCCGGTCAGCCTCTCTCCAGCCGGACAGCAGAGCCCCGTGCGTGGTGGAGTAAAACGTCCGGTGTGTGGCTTCTCCCGCAAACAGCACCTGGGGCTGCAAAGAAGGGTGGGGTCAGGGTGTGTGCCTGGGTTGGCCACAGGCCCCACGCCTCTCCCCTGCGGCCAACGGCCAAGGGCGGTGTGGGGCGGGTGTGGGGTGGGTGTGGGGCTTTGTTCTTCCCCTAATCCCGCACCTGATGTGACCAGGACACCAGGGCCAGCACCACGGCTGCTACACTGAACAGAGCAACAACAGTGCAGCACACCCAGAATTAAATGTAAGCACAGAATGCAGCATGGAGAGCATCACCCAAAACACAGAGCAAAATCCAGAAAAAGCGAAAAGGAGAAAAAAAAGCTGTGATAATTCAAGAGAATTCCAGCAGAAGCGGAGTGACTGCCAGCAAGTGCGGGGCTCCTGCTCTTCCTGCTTCCTTGGAGATTTGAAAACCAGGTGAATCACAAGGGCTTCGGACCTCCCAGCAGCAACGTGGGGAGCATCTTCAAAGCCCCGAGGGACGTGGCTGCCAAAAGAGCACTTTGCACCCAACATGGGGCTTTTGCACTGCTGTGAAGTCTTGGACACTCCTCTACCTTGAATCTGGGCAGGCTTGTGGCCGCTTTGTCCAGTTAGTGAGGCAAGACCTCTTCACTCAGTCACAGGAGCAGCAGTGCCCACTCCGCGGAATGCTGGTGCTGGAGCCCTGGGCCGCCACGGTGGGAGGGAGCCCAAGCCACACAGAGAGGCCAAGGGCAGGCGCTTGAGTCCTTCAAGTCCTCCAGCCAGGGCAGACATGTGAGAGAAGCAGCCTCAGAGGACCTCTGCCCTGGCCCATAGTCACCCCTAGTGGGTCATTCTCGCAGCTGAGATGCCAGATATCACAGGACAGAAACAAGCCGTCCCACGTTGCCCACCTACAGAATCTGTCAGCATAGGAAAGTGGTTGTTTCCACCCCTGGAAAAGAGACTGTGGCCCCTCACAGCCCAGGTGTGGACGGTGCCCGCAGCAAAGAAGACATTGGAAGTGAGGAGGTCCCACCAGAACTACTGCATCACACCTGGGAGGGCGGGGAGAGGAGTGCAGGGACACTAAAACTGATGTGACTTAGTCAGAATTCAACCAGTCATGCCTAAAACTGAGAATTCAAGAGCGACACCACCAAACAAGACTTGGACACCAAGCACGACTGCTGGGTGGTGTGGGGCAACCGTGAATGTTTACATATGACAACACGGTTATGGTGATGTATTTTAAGAGTGTGTCCTCGATCTTTTGGAGATGCCCACGGGAATATCTGCAGACAAAGCTACAGCACCTGTGGGACGAGCCTGACAACAGGCGGCGCCACAAGATGCCGTGAACAGACAGACACGAAACCGGAGACAGGAGCTCAAAGGCTCTGCCCACCTTTGTAACATGGAAAGTTTCCCACAATTACATGTTTTGTAGAAGGTGGTAGATAGCGTGTTATTTGGAGATCCGGTAAATTCAGAGACCAGAATCAGCCAGAAGAACAGTCTGGGAGGGTCCACGGTGTGCCCCCCACCAGCATGCTACATTAGGTCCTTTTTTTATTTTGTTAGCCGGCAGCGGACAGTCCTCTGATGCTTTAAGCTCTGAGCATGTATAGTTCTGATAAAAATAACACATTTAAGAATTACTCTTAGTTTCCAAAAGAAATGGACTCTGAATCTCAGAGTCCCAGGTCTCCACATCCCTCAGCAGCTCCCAGCCTTCACAGGACTGTCCTGGGCTCTGGACCCTGCAGTGGGGACCCCAGTGCCCTCACTTGGGCACCCACATCGTACCTGGGCCTCCTTGCCGTCTGCAGGGAGGGGCTGAGCTAGCAGGTCAATGTCGTCCCCGGAGCTGCCCACGGCCACATAGCTGTAGGAGCCCCTGGTGTACGGGGCACTGTGCCAGCGCGACCTCAGCACACTCCTGGGTGCGGGGAGCTGCGGGTTCCCTGGACCACAGAGGCGCACGCGTTAACCCAACATCCGCCTGGACGTCTGCAGTGAGCCTCTCACTTAATCAGAGAAACTGCCTGGGAAAAAACCCAAGGCACAGAGAGTGCGAGTAAGAGGCTCCCCGGTCCCCCAACTCTGCTGGCCGCCACCGCCTGGGCGGAGGCTGGATTCCCCACCGGGCCATGGGGTGGCACCACTGCCTTTCCGGAGCCGCAGCACCTCATCTGTGAAGCTCTCGTCAAGGACACCACACCCATCCTGGGGGCAGATTTTAGAACAGAGAAGTGGGAAGGGGTTGTAGAGTCACTCTGGTCCTCAGAGACCAGGACTCCTGGTGGCCCACTAGCACAGGAGGACTGTCCCAGGAGAGACCCCTCACCCTTGGGAGTCTGGGTCCCATCAGCGAGCAGCCTCCAGGGCGGAGGTGGTGCCACGGCCCCCAGGCCCCTACCTGTCACCCGGCGAAGCACCTGGGTCAGAGACAAGAGCACGTCTTCATCCGACAGTGTCTCCATGAACTCAGACTCCAGCCCAGCAATGAAGCCGCAGAGCACGTGGGCAGACCTGCATGGAGAGAACAGTGCTGGGCTCCCAAGTGTGGCACCACTCTCGGGGTACCCTCCCAGGGGCTGCTCGGTCAGACTCTCAGGTCTGCCGTTTCCATCCGACATCTGCCCGGTGCTCAGGAGTCATGGTGGGAACAGCCGCCCTCAGCAGAGCCGGGGCCTCGGCACAAGCCCGCCAGCAGACCCACGCGCAGGGGAGCGCCCCACTCGTGGCAGGGCGTACCGCGAAGCAGCCGCATCAAGTCCTGAGCCTTGAGAGCAAGTCTTTCTAACACCCCACGTGGCAGGATGGGGGGGACCAGGCACACGTGAGCCGCCAGTGGACCACTGCATCTTTCACAAATGGGGGTTTGGGGCCTGGGTATCTGGCAGACACTTTCTCAAAAATTAGCAGAGTGTGTCTCTTACAAGGAAAACAACAGCAAGTATTTATTGCTGATGACAAAACTGAGGCTCTCGAGCAAAAATTAGAATTTTAGAAACTTGCCTCTGCCACCAACAGTTCAGCCGGCCCAACGCAGACTTTTCTGGGACCAGGGGTGATGGTAATAAATTTAATTTTTCACATTGTACGGTGAAATGTTTCAGCACTTGGAAGACTACATGAATCCTTACTTTCCGAATGACCGAAACGTGGGTGGGTTAAAGACCATTCAAAGGGCGAGACAGACAAACAGAGGCAGAGTAAGACGCAAAATCCACCAAATGGTTTCAGGCTCCACACTGCAGCTGACTTCTACAGAGCTACCTTCAACCTCCTGAGTCCTGGCGCAGCACCAAAGAACACCCACAGTTATCTGAAACCAAGTAAAGGTTACTCCTCTTCCCAAGCACAGGTCTACAGCATGCTTCACACACTCCACCCAGACCGCGGAACCAATGCAGGGCAGCCATGGGTTCCAGTTACCTCCTATTATCCAGACACTAAAGACACTTGCAAAAAAGACAAAACATTGCCACTCTTCTCACTGAAGTCTGTTTTAGAAATGCAGTTGTTTTTTGTTCAAAAGTGTTATTTATGTTAATGTGGAATAGCTTTACTGTCATTTTGAAGAATAAACATTTTTAAATTTCTCAGATTAATTACTAATGTGATAAATGCACAGATATAACCCACGTGAACAAAAGCTCTTTAAGATCCTGAATAATTTTTAAGAGTAGAAAAGGCGGATCCTGAGACCACAGTGTGAGAGTCACTGCCCAGGGCCATGGCGTGTCCCACGAAGGCGCCCAGGGTCCCTGGGACCATTGTCGTCGACATCCTGAGCCTGGAGCAGTTGGCCAAGCCAGTCACTGATCACTGCCCGACCGTCCTCAACCCCCTGGATGTCAGCTGCATCTTCAATGCAGAGGAGACAGCCGTCCCCCTCCCAGGCTGCAGGAGCCCACGCACCCTGCTCTCATGGTTATGGGGGTGAGCCAGGCTGGCGGGCCGTGGAAATGTATCCATCTCCCCACGCCTCCAGGCCGAGAATGTGGCCCCCAACCCCTCCAAGTCTCTGCGTGGAAACCTGGAGTCACATCCGCCAGCTGAGCACAACACGCTGTGCGATGATGTTGCTGGAAGAGCCAGTCCCTCCCTCCCTAAATTACCCACGGTCTTACATCCTGAGTTAGCACTGACTCCCACAGGGGGTGGGCCCAGGTGTCTGTCCCATGCCTTAGGATGCCCTTGGGACCCCCACCCTGTCAAGCCCTCCAGAAACACCTCACAGAGGGTCGACACTGCTGGACCCACAGTCAGAGCTCACACCCAGGGCACCTCACAGAAGCTAGGGATGTGTACGTACTTGAAGGCAGGCAGGACCAAAAAGCCAATAAGTTTCTTGAACCAGGCGTCCTGCAGCTTGAGGGTGGCATCCTCCAGGGGCGACGTGTCCTCCCACACCAGCTGGATGTACTGGCAGTCCGGCTGCCAGAAGGGTTCCTCAAACTCCAGAAAGATTTTATTGTTGGTCCCAAAGCCTATTTTCCTGGTGGCTTCTGCCTTCTCACTGGGCAGCGGAGGCTCAAAGAAGGTGTCCAGATGCTCCTTCAGAAAACCTGGAATTCATAATTGGACGGGGCTTACACTATATGAGCCTCTGACACTGGAATCAACCGTCGTGGGCACACTCCCTGACCCGGTCAGGAGAGGCCGGGAAGGAGTCTCTCAGGAGCCACGTAGGCTGGCCGTTCGTCATCCGTCCCGACTCTGGCCTCAGGCAGCCAGCACCAAAGTGGAGGGATGCGATAGGCCCTGTGAACATCTGGCCAGGTGGCGATAGTTTACACACCAGCCGCAAACTGCTCTGCAGGGACAGTTCTCACTCCTGAGCCTTCCAGGACTGGTTGAGAGGGGCAGCGAAATAGACATGACTTTATCCAGAAGCTGCATAAGAATGAATCTGCATTTAGCCCAAAGGCAAACCACAAGGGGGTGAAACACGGGAAGCACCAGCCAATCTCGCAGGTCCCTAAAAAAAGGACAAAAACAACCCGGCAGGAAACGGCCCCTCTCTGTGCAGATCTTAAACCAGCAGCTCCCACTGCTAGAACTGATCCTACAAGTATGTGCCCACGAGTGTTTTTAAATGTACAGGTACAACACTGTGTGCAACAGAACAAACGAAAACAACCCAAATTTCCACCAGCATGGAGTAATGACACTGACACCTATATACAAGAAAACATGGTGTGGCTGTAAAGAACAGATGTGGCAGGTGGGCAGCGCGCCGGGGTCGGCGGGGTTGGGGAGGTGAGGAGGGCGGGCGGAGACTCTCACTCTTCCTCTTACATCAGCTCTGGCACCTGCTCACTTGGTGAACTTGGGCAGTTAAGTGACTTTGCTCTGCTGGCATCTGTCAGACAGGGGATGGGACAGGCGTGCCCCAGGCTGCTGCCCGAGGAGTAAATGAGATAAGCAGGCACGGCTTGCCTTCAGCCACCTCCATCTTTCATCACACTGCCAGCTGCTACTCCAAGGCTTCCGTCTAAAGCATCAGATCTAGAATTAAATAGGATTATACATGGGACTCCTTCCTCGATTACTACCGGGACCTAAACCTGAGACCTGGCTTTCACACCTGCTCCATGTCTAAGGAAGCAGTTCGGTGAACCTCCCAAGGCCATCCCAACTCTCCCATAATTACCCCAAAAGGATCAAGACACCTGCTGCCCTGCATTTTCTCTTACTGTGAAACACTTAATTCCAAAGCACATGATTGCTGCAAAGCACAAAAGAGTAACTCTATCTGAAACTCCGAATGAAAATGTGAGCTTAGTAGCCCACAAACACCCCAGGGCCAGTGAGGCTGGAGAAAGCCAGAGGCCAGGGCACTGGGATGGGGAACTGGAGGAAACCAGACAGAAAAGTGGGCTTTACCTAAGGGCACGGTGACAACAACATGATGTGCCGGGAAGCAGTCTCCATCCTCACACTCCACCAGCACTGGAAACGTCTCCCCAGGAGCAGAGGCTTCCTGGAAGGACCCATTCCAGTGAACAGTCTTCACAGGCTTGTTAAAAACCATCACATCCTCGGGCAAGGAGGCCATCATGCGGCTCGTGAGCCCCTGGTAGCCCCTGGAGACAGAGGGGTTGGCGCGGTTTAGAGGACCAGCTCCTGGAGGTGACTCTCTGGAACAAGCCCTCCAAGTTCACACCAGATAGGGGAACTGAGCTGTTCTGGTCCTGACCCGGGGGCCTGGCCCAGCCAGGGAGGACGGCAAGGAGGCAGGGCCTCATGCCTCCAGCTCTAACGCAAGGATTCAGTGAGCAAAGGGGCGCAGAGCTTCCCAGGCACTCATGGAGAACAGGCTCCGGCCTCACACGGCCCAGGGCTCTAGCCCAGTCACTGGGGCCTCCGGGCCACAGTGCCAGAGGTGACACCGGGGAGAGCCCAGCAGGACAGGCCTGGAGGGTCTTGTGAGTGCCTGGTGGGAAACAGCCACCCACCACAGAGGAGCACCTGCCTGCCCCTCTCTGAGGCTGAAGCCCTTCACATGGTGCTTCCATGCAAAGGGCCGCCTGACCATGGGAGGAAGAAAGCATTATGAGATACAGTTCCTTCTTTTAATCACTTCTTCTTAAAAATTTTTTCTTTTTCATAAATGAGCAAAACTCAGGAAATAAATGACCAATCTCTGTAAAACAGGGAAGACAAACAGCCCCCTGTCCCTCCCACCCATCCCCTGCCTTCCAAAGCTTGACCTGAGGTTCATGGAGGGACCCTGGAGGTATGGGGGCCCCTGGGGGCATGGAGGGACTTCTGGGGGGCATGGAGGGACCCTGAGGGCATGGGGGCCCCTGGAGGAATGGGGGGTCCTGGAGCACGGAGGGCTGTCTGGGTGGGTGGGGTACACACATACCCAGCAAAGGTGCAGTCCAGCCCTGGCAGCACAGTGTACTCCCCGAAAGGCGCGAGGGCCACAAGGTCCATGCTGTGCGTACCACTCACGCAGCACTCCAGGTTGAACAGGCTGTTCAGGATGGCCAGCTTGAGCTTCTTAGTCTTCTCGTCCTCTGTCCAGCAGGCCATGTGCTGATGGATCCTCTTTTTGAGGAACTCCCCAACGCTGGGCACGGGGTTCTCGGTCGCGTGCAGGAACTCCCTGGTCTGGTCTATGAGACCATAGAACAGACCGGCCATCTCCGCCACCAGCTCAGGGCTCACACTTCCCCCCGAGCTGGTGTAGGTCACAGAGGGCAGGCCCACGTGACCTCCGGTCTCGATCAGCTGGTTCTCCTCTGACAGCTCCTTCTTGCCCAGCAGCCCAAACTCAGCAGCCAGCTGGAAGACGGGGTTGCCCTGGGAGGGGCCATGGATCCAGTGAGCACCAACCTCCACCACACCACCTGGGAGGCGCAGAAGATGCCACCTTGAGGTTCCTTCCCAGAAGCCCTCCTCTGGGACCGCATCCAGCTCGACCCTTTCAAATATGCTCTGAAAATTAGCCAGAGGTCCGCGCAGTCCCTGAGGACCACAGACTCCTGGCAAGGCCTTTCAGGCGGGGGGCGGGGGGGCGGGGAGACTGGCCCGCGCTGCCAAAGGAGGACACAGAGGTAGGCCTGGGGCAGAGACACATTTATGGGAAACCCCGAGGCTGGAGGGGGAGCTACCTGCGGCGGCAGAACCGTGGGCAACTGTGTCGGGCCATGGGTTTCCTTCCCCGGCAGGAGCCGGCCCTGCTCACAGTGGGCAGCTAAGTTTCGGGGACCAGCGAACTTTGGCTAAGTAAGTGGGGCGCGGCGGGGATTCACTCAAGGGACCAGAAAAGGGTTCCGGGTCCCTTAACCCTGTACGCAGGCAGAGCCAGGAGATGACAGAGCTCCGGCGGCACCAACTGGGTTCCGGGAAGGGGTTCCGGGAAGGAGTTCCAGGAAGGATTTCTAGGAAGGAGTTCCGGGAGAGGCTGTTACCGAAGCTGCTCTCCGAACGGATGCGGCCACCGGCGCGGGCTGTGGCCTCCAGAACCCGCAGGTGCGAGAAGGCCGGGTGGCGAGAGAGCCTCTGCGCCGCGC